GGGGGGGGGGGTTAAAGAAAATAATAGAAAATTTGTTATTTCCTTGATTGCAGTTAAATTTGTAGTATTTCTTTTCTTATTTTGGATATTTTAGAGTTGTCATGCACGGAACGGGTCCCCACTTGTGGGAATATACTGAGTATGTTGTTGTAGAGTTGTAATGCACAGATTATGATATATAAGACATGCTTAACCAAGTATTTTGCTCCTTTGAACTAGAAATACTTCATGTTGAGGTTTCTTTGTGCAAATGTAGAGAAAGGAATCCCTCTTTCGGGAAAGAACAATCTACTTTCGGTGGGCTTCATTATTCATGCTGTATCTCCTTGAATGGTCTCTTAACAACGTGGTATTCCTTTTGCAGGCTCATAATGAGGAGTTTGCTTCTATTTTCAGTCTTGAGGATTATAAAGGTTTGTTTTTAATCCATGTAATCATTTGGCATTGTCTTTTGAACATTGAAGCAGATATTCTTGATACACAAACTACTTTTGTCCTATCTAAATAACTTAGGTGGGCTAATCCTTTCATTCGATTTTTTATATCTCAAAATGACTTCTTATTGTTCATTATGTGTCTTGGAGATATACTCACGCAAGTTAGATCCCCTGGATGTCATTTTAAAGTGATGGTGCAATTTTGTTCCCCTCTATGTTAGTTTTAAATTAACATGGTGAAGCTCTGGTCAACAACAACAAACAACAACAACCCAGTAAAATCCCACTAGTGGGGTCTGGGGAGGGTAGTGTGTACGCAGACCTTACCCCTACCCCAAAGGAGTAGAGAGGCTGTTTCCGAAATACCCCCGGCTCAAGAAAACAAAACGACAAAACGACAAGAGGAGACAATATTAGTATCACCACAACAATCATAGGTAAATTAGGAACACCATGAAATGCAGAAGAAAGATGCAAAGCAAAAACGATAGCTAGTAAATAGGACATGCACTGAAAAGCGAAGTAGTAAAACACAACATTATCACTAGCTATCCTAGACAAAAAACCTACGTGGCTAGTCCTACAATGGTACGAAGTAAGTCAAGATTCAACTACATCCTAACCTACAACTCTAATACTCGACCTCCACATCTTCCTATCAAGTGTCATGTCCTCGGAAATTTGGAGCATCGCCATATCCTGTCTAATCACCTCTCCCCAATACTTCTTAGGCCACCCTCTACCTCTTCTCGTGCCCTCCACAACCAACCGCTCACACCTCCGTACCGGAGCATCTGGGCTTCTCCTTTGAACATGTGCGAACCATCTAAGACTCGCTTCCCGCATCTTGTCATCAATGGGAGCCACGTGCACCTTCTCCCGAATAACATCATTCTTAATCTTATCTATCCTAGTGTGCCCGCACATCCACCTTAACATCCTCATTTCTGCTACTTTCATCTTCTGGATATGTGAGTTCTTAACGGTCAACCTTTACTGTAATACGTTGACCATTTGTTACCTATATTCTATATTAATTTATCTAATTCGTCTACTTTGACATTTCTTCTCCGCATGGCTTATTCATATTTCTTCAAGTAGGGCTGTTGATTTCATATGTTCTAGTCACTGTTAATTTGCTAAGCTCATTCTTCTCGATGTCACAGCTAATCGCGAGAGAATCTATAATCAGATTGAAGCTGCCATTTCAAAATATCGAGAAATCAAGGACAATATCAATGAGGGATTGAAGTTCTACGTAACACTTCAGGTATTGGAATTTTCATCTTCTTTTGGTCTGCTCTTTCAATTAGAGTTGTTTGGTAAGGGGGTGGGGGAGGCGGAATATTTGCTCACCTGGTTTGCAAGACGATGAGGACTCCGACCATTTGCTTTCAGTGGATCCTCTGAGCACATCCCTCATTTGATATAGGATCATTTGGGTCCGCGATATAAGAATTTCTGCTGGGGGAAGAGGAAGCAGGGGTGGAGATAAGATTAGCTAGATTAGAGTCCGTGCTTCCATTTGGTTCCACGGGATTATAATGCAATTGGCTTGTATACATGGGAATGCAATCATCCTCCTAGGGGCCTATTTTATCCCGTTGAGAGAGTTGGGATTGTGACTATTCTATGGGTTGCATTGTAAACACTCCCCCATTGGAGAGGGTTGGGACTGTAACAATTCCATTTAATACATCACTACTCTTCTCCCTATTCCTACCTGCCCTCGGCTGCCCTGTACGTTCCTTTACCAACTCCTCTCCTCACCTCATCTTCATTTTTTCGTTTTTCACATAGAAATCAAGGCATAAGTCTGAAAAAAATTGAGTTATAATCTCTCACCTTAACCATGAATAAAATACAATATGATATTTTATACAATCCCAACCTACTAATCTCACTGAGATATTATAGTCTCATTCATAATTCTCACCTAATTCAACAGTATCATAATCTACCCTTATCACGTGCAAGTCAAAGAACCCCTTGGATCTTCTGATGTAACTGTAGTCAATGTTGACAAAGCACTAACTATTCCTGTAATACTGAAAAGGATCTTTCAATGTATAACCTCGACATGTCAATGGTCATTATTATTTTGTTCCTTTTGGTGTGAGGCTAGGGTAGAGGAGGAATGGCGGATGAGACCTATAGTTCAAAGTTGCATTTCTGGACTTCAAAATTCATATTAGTTGCGCACAGTTGGTAAACCGCTAGATATGTCATTTTCCAACTCTCCTGAATATGTCAAACTTAGTTCTATTTACACATTCCCAGGAAAGAAATTCATAGAAATTTGTTTTTGTTGAGCAGGAGGCGATCACTAATGTAAAACAGCAGTGTAGTGATTTTGTGATGACAAGAAGCATACAGTGCCGAGAAATGATAGAAGAGGTACAGAGGCAAATCTCAGGTCTCAGTTTCCAGGACAGTAAAAGTTCAAGTGGTTATGCCTATCCTTCAGTTGGGCAGCCTCAACAGGCTCCAAGAGCCAATCCCCAACTGCCTGCCGATACTGGAAATATACCCAATCATCCTCGACCCCAAAATCCTACATACCAGCCTCCCCAACAACCAACAATGCCTGGATATAGTCAAACTTCTCCTTATGGTTCTCCACAACCGCCTGCACCACCTTACAATTTTCCGGGTCAAGGTCAACCATATCCGCATCCTCAGCATCAACAACAGCCTCCACAAAGCCACGAGTATGGCCAACCTGCATATCCTGGGTGGCGGGGTCCATACTATAATGCACCTCCACAACAACCCGGGGCTATGCCTCGGCCTCCTTACACTGCCCCTTCACCATATCCTCATCCTCCTCCCCATCAGAGTGGCTATTACAGGCAATAATAGTTTTCCAATATTTTTCTCGCGTGCAATCTCATGTTCATTTTTGTATGGCAAGTTTTTGTCATTTGCAAGTGGTAGATTGGACCTGGCTAGATTTCTTTGTTAATACCAGTTCTTAGCATTTATTATACGTTGTAAGCAACTTTGAATGAATCATGGCTCGCATTACCCGCGTGTACAGGGTATCTCCTTGTAAAATCATATTGATTCTGTACGATGATCAAAATACTGGAACAATAATTGAAACTTCTCCAGTCTTCAGTAAACTATGAGATCTGATATTTTGTGAATAATAAAAAAATGTCATCTGATATTTTGTGGATCTATTTGTTGGTCTTGCATATATCACTGATATTTAGTGCAAGCAACCTTCCAAGTTACAGCTTGTTTGGATGGCTGTTACATGTTGTATTGTACAATGTTTGTTTTGGTTGTTACTTAGATTTTATTATATCATATGTTATATTTGTCGTTACGTATCGGTTCAAAAACGTGCTACTTTATGAACCGACGATTTGGTGTGATTGCGTCGTTACGTTATTTTTCTCTCATCTTGTCCTTCCTTATATAATATAAATAATTCGAATTTATCTTTTACCTTACCTTTTTATATAATAATTCTATCCCGTATCTTACTTTTTCTTTATAAAATTACAAGTTTATTCTTTATATTGTTGGTGTATGACATCATGAAACGAGGACAAACAATACAATCTATCCAAATTTTGTATAAATCAAAACGATATAATATAATACTATATAATATAATATTATGCGATACATTGTGAAACGATACATAACAACCATCCAAATAAGTTGTTAATGATTTGTGGATGTCCATTGCAATTCCATGCTTAATTTTGCAGAAATATCTCGGGAAGTTTTCCAAAAATGGAACACCATAACTTCAATAAATTTCAACACATAGTGATGACCATTTATGTTGTATTGATTTCAAACTTGGGAGTGTGTCCGGAAAATTTTTTGGAGGTCTGTAGAGGAATTAGACTTGAAATGCCGAAAGTTAAACTTTTGGGAAGTTTGACCGAGGGGTTGACTTTTTGATATCGGGATCGAAATCCGATTCTAAAAATTTTAATAGGTATGTTATGTCATTTATGACTTGTGTGCAAAATTTGAGGTCAATCGGATGTGATTTGATAGGTTTCAGCGTTATTTGTAGAAATTAGAAATTTGAAAGTTCAATAGGCTTGAATTGGGGCGTAATTCATAGTTTTAGCATTGTTTGAGGTGATTTGAGGATTCGACTAAGTTTGTATCATATTTTAGGACTTGTTGGTATATTTAGTTGAGGTCCCGAGGGCCTCGGGTGAGTTTCGGATGGTTAACGGATTAAAAATTGAACTACAACAGCTGCTGCAAAAATCCTTCTATTGGAAATTTCTTCTGCTAGATTCGAGCCCATGAAATCTCTCAGAATCGAGCCTAAAAAATCGAGCCCAGATGTGAGCCCAGATCGAGCCCAGGGTCGAGGGCCACGATCGAAGCCATGATCGAGCCTAGGGTCGAGGGTCACAGTGGAAGGCAGGGTCGAAGACATGATCGAAGGCTAGGGTCGAGGGCAATGATCAAGGATCAGGATCGAAGCCACGATCGAGGCATAAGATCGAGGACCAGCATCAAGGCCCATGATCGAGGCCTAGGATCGAGGACCAGGATCGAGGCCTAGGATTGAGGACCTCGATCGATGGCCAAGATCGAGGCAGAACCGAGGTTGTCTGGGCAGAATTATAAAAACAGGGACTTCGTCCCATTCGTCATGTTTGACAAATTGGAGCTTGAGGAGAGGCAATTTTTGATATATTTTTAAGGAAAACTTGAGGTAAGTCCCTTGTGATCATTTCTACACCATAATATTGAATTATCATCAATAATCTGACTAGATTACATGATTTTGAGGTGTAAATCGGAGATTGGAACTTAGAAATTTGGAAATAAGATTTGTAGATTTGAGGGTCGAGTTGAGGTCGGATTTTGGTAAAATTAGTATGGTAGACTCGTGGTTGAATGGGCTTTCGAATTTTGTAACTTTTGTCGGGTTCCTAGACATTGGCCCCACATGCGATTTTTGAGCTAAACTTCGGATTTTTATGGAAAATTAGCGTTTTCTTATGGAATTAATTCAAATAAATTTTATTGACTGAAACGAATTATTTGTGACTAGATTCGAGGCATTCGGAGGCCGATTTGCGAGGCAAAGGCATAGCAGAGTAAAGAATTTCACGCTCTGAGGTAAGTAACAATTTTAAATCTGGTCATGAGGGTATTAAATCCCGAATTTTGGTATCATGTGATTATTTTGGAGGTGACGCACATGCTAGGTGACGGGCGTATGGGCGTACACCGAGGGGATTGTGACTTGGTCCGTCTCGGGAAACTGTAAAGTTGAATAATTTATTGTTAGCTATATGCTCTCTATGTGTTGATAAAATTTGACTGTAAATCATGTTAGAAATCATGCTTAGGCTATGTGATAGTACTGTTGGGGCCCACAGAGGTCGCGTACTTGTTGAATTGCCTGCTAAATGTTATATGTACTTAGTCTCAGTTTTTACTTGCACATTTTATCTCAGTCTCTGTTATTATTATTGATACATCATATCATTGTTGTTTGGGTGGATTTCATGATTCATGAGAGCCCGAGAGACTGGAGAGATTTATGATTGAGAGAGGCCGAGGGCCTGATTGTGAGCTATTGATATCATAGCACGTGAGTTGTCCGTGCAACATGTGAGTTGGCTGTGCAAATACTTATATTATACTATAGCACGTGAGTTGGCCATGCAACACGTGAGTTGGCCGTGCGTCTCCTTATATTATACTATAGCACGTGAGTTGGCCGTTCAGATCCAGATATTTATATTATGGAACATGAGTTATCCGTGCAGATTATAGCGCTTGGTCTGTAGGAGCCCCTCCGGAGTCTGTACACCCCTAGTGAGTGCGGGTACCCATTGAAAGTGAGTGGTGAGGGTTAGGAGCCCAGGGAGTGATGTGGGCTAGGAGCCCAGGGAGTGATGTGGGCTGGGAGCCCAGTGAGTGATTGTTGTCCTAAGAGGTTTTTCTTGATTTCTATTTGTTATTGCACTTAGTTGCTATCTGTCATTGTTGTGAAATCTCTGAAAGATTTTGATATACGGATTACATGAACAGGAACTGTATAAAAAAATTGATTTGACATTAAACTGCCAGATTTGATAGCATGTCTATTCTTTGCTGGAATTACTGGAAATGAACCATAATTGTGTAGCTCGTTACTATCTTCAGTTCCTTATTTATTATTATTACTTGCTGAGTTGGTTGTACTCATACTACACCCTGCACTTCGTGTGCAGATCCAGGTGTTCCCGGACATAGCAGGTGTTGATCCTTTCACGCGGTTGATTTTGAGGAGATTTTGAGGTAGCTGCCGTATTCCGCAGACCTTGTCTCTCTTTCTCTATCTCTTTGTTTACTGTATTTGGTCTCAGACTATTATAGAATATATTTTCCAGACTTGTATTCTTATTAGTTTCTCATGTACTCAGTGACACCAGGTTTTGTATTGTATTTAAATATTATATTTTTAACCTTAAAGAGAAGTTTTGGTTTATTGAGATTTTCGGCTTGTCTAGTATCGAGATATGCGCTATCATGACAGGTTGGGATTTTGGGTCGTGACAAGTTCTCATCAGGAAAATTTCGTTAGTTATTTGTAACAAAAACTCTAAACTACTTCGTTATTGAAAGAAATAAAAAGGTCGGGAATGGTGTACCCTGAGAAAAATATGATTCTTTGGGAATGGTTTACCCTGATTGTCTAATGGTGCCTTAACTAAGGATTGATGTACCTTATGTTGGGAAAATGTGGCTACGGAATGATGTACCATATATCAACAATGATACCAGGGAGTGGTGTACCCTGCATTTAAGATCAAATCAACTAGGAATTGGTGTACCCTACGTTGGAAAACACAGTTAAAGATTGGTGTACCCTATACTGGAAAGGATATTAGGGAGTGGTGTACCCTACATTTCAGCTCGATTCAACTAGGGAGTGGTGTACCCTATATTGGAAAACACCGCTAGGGATTGGTGTACCCTATACTGGTAAGGAGACTAGGGATTGGTGACCATATGTCTAAAATATCATCAACTAGGGAGCGGTGTACCCTATGTTGGAAAACACAGTTAATGATTGGTGTACCTTATACTGGTAAGGAGACTAGAGAGTGGTGACCCTATGCCTAAAATATCTTCAACTAGGGAGTGGTGACCCTATATTAGAAAACACAACTAGGGATTGGTTTACCCTATACTGGTAAGAAAATGTAACCATGGGTTGATACCCTGTATTACAGAAAAGGAATGTAACTAGGGGATGCCACCCTGTATTAAAGAAAATGAATGTAACTAGGGGTTGGCACCATGTATTACTGAAAAGGAAAGTAACTAGGGGTTGATACCCTGTATTACTGAAAAGAAAATGTAACTAGGGGTTGGCGCCTTGTATTACTGAAAAGGAATATAATAAGGGGTTGGTACCCTATATTACTGAGAAGAGATGTAACCAGAGGTTGATACCCTGTGTTACTGAAAGGAAATGTAACCAGGGGTTGGTGCCATGTATTACTGAAAGGAAAATGTAACTAGGGGATGGTGCCCTGTATTACGAAAAAAGAAATATAACCAGGGGTTGACGCCCTTTATTACTGAAAAATAAAGTAACCAGGGGTTGATACCCTGTATTACTGATAAGAAAATATAACCAGGAGTTGGTACCTTGTATTACGGAAAAGGAAATGTAACCAGGGGTTGGCGCCCTATATTACTTAAAAAGAAAGTAACCAGGGGTTGATAGCTTGTATTACTGATAAGGAAATGTAACCAAGGGTTGTCGCCCTGTATTACTGAAAAAGAAAGTAACCAGGGGTTGACACCTTGTATTACTGATAAGGAAATGTAACCAAGGGTTGTCGCCCTGTATTACTGAAAAAGAAAGTAACCAGGGGTTGATAGCTTGTATTACTGATAAGGAAATGTAATCAGGGGTTGACGCCTTGTATTACGGAAAAAGAATGTAACCAGGAGTTGGTACCCTGTATTACTAGAAAAGAAATGTAACTAGGGGATGGCGCCCTATATTACGATAAAGGAATGCAACCAGTCATTAACACCCTATATTACTGAAATGGAATGTAACCAGGGGTTGGCACCCTCTATTACTGAAAGGAAATGTAACCAGGGGTTGGTACCCTGTATTACAGAAAAAGAATGTAACTAGGGGTTGATACCCTGTATTACTGAAAATGAATGTAACCAAGGG